AAGTATGCTAGTCATCTCCATCTTAATGTCCGCCAAAGAAACATAGGCCCAACATGGATTCATTTTCTTTCTTCCAAACCTGCTCTCTTGCCTCCCCCGTGCATGTCTCACTCATGGAGAGAAAGCAGCAGGAATCCGAGCTGCCCCTGTCCCTGACCTGCCACACACTGCCTGACAGATTGCACCTCCTCCTTCCTAGCTACTGCTGTAGACTGCCGTTTGACCTCAATATTTCTCTTCTCATTTAGGTTGTCAGAATCCCTGCTTCCTGCTCTTAGATCTTTCACTCTGCCACACCAGCAATCTTGCGGCGATATTCTCATCCTGTTGCACCACTAGTTGGGAACGGTCCATGGCTCCCCATGGCTCAGGGGATAAAGACCCTGCTCTTCAAAATGCCTCAAGGGCCCTTTTGCAGGTCAGACCCCTAACTTTCTCTCTCCTCTTTGCTCCATAGCAATGCCTGTCTTTCTCCTGCTGCCTTGCTGTCTGCCTGGGCTACAACGTCAATTTAAGAGTGTCGGGGGCAAGGGGTCCCTCCTCAAAGGCTTGTTTGATCTCCAGATAAAGTTGACTAGTCTTTCTTTGGAGCTCCCAAGTTTCAGTCCCAATGCCCACAAGGCTTTTAGATGTGTGTGTGTTTCTCTGGCCCCATTACAACAGGAGTCTCTGGCCGGGCACAGTGGTGCACACCTGTAATCCCAGCAGCTCAGGAGGCTGAGGCAGGAMGATCACAAGTTCAAGGTCAGCCTCAGCAACTTAGCAAGGCCCTAAGCAACTCAGTGAGACCCTGTCTCTAAATAAAAAATAAAAAGGGCTGGGGATGTGGCTCAGTGGTTAAGCGCCCCTGGGTTCAATCTCAGGTACCAAAAAAGAACTGTAGTCTCTGAAAGCAGCAACGTGTCACCTAGCACAATGGCTGGCATGGTGACAGTTCCCATCCATGAAATCCTAAATGGATGTGGAAATAAGAAGATTAGCCAGAGCAAGTGGATACAAATKCAAATGAGGCTTTCCAATGGCTATATCTGTAGGTGGTATAAAAAAGGGGACAGAACACCTATAATGCTCAGGCACCTCTGGGAGAGAGGAGATTAGGGATTAAGTGAGGAAGACTAGGACAGGTGGCCTTCTGTATTGGTGGGTTCCGCCTGGGCGGATTCTATCAACCTCAGGGTACTGAAAATGTTCAGCSTTAAAAGATTTGTATTGCACTGAACATGCACTGACATTTTTTCTTGTTATTATTCCCTAAACAATACAGTATAACAACTATTTATATAGCGTTGACATTGGAGTAGGTATTGTGAGTAACCTGGAGATGACTGAAAGTATATAGGAAGGTGTGTGTAGGTTCTAGGCAAATATTATGTCACCTTACATAAGGGACTTGAGTATCTGTGTGTGTGTGTGTGTGTTTTGTTTTTTTGTTTTGTTTTGTTTTTTTAAATCCAGGAGTCCAAAAGAAATCCCTGCAGATACCGAGGGAGGACTATATTTAGAAGAAAGGTAGACAAAGAAGAAGGGAGGGGGGCACTGTGGCTTTAAGAGTGGGCAGTGGGGGGCTGGGTTTGTGGCTCAGTGGTAGAGTGCTCACCTAGCATGCATGAGGCATTGAGTTCGATCCTCAGCACCACATAAAAACAAAATAATGTGTTCACCTAAAACTAAAAATACATAAATAAATATTTTTTTTAAAAAAAGAGTGGGCAGTGGGTCTGGCRTGTGGATGGAACTCCCAGGGGGGAGCGGGAAGGGGTGGACCATGCATTAGCATGCAGGGCTGGCATGTGGGACCCAAGGGGCAGTAACTGGGGACATGGCATTGAAGGACAGACACAGTGACATGGGGTTAGGGGACTCTTCAAATACCCTGGATTTGTCCTTCACACTCCTTCTCAGAATTGCAGTCAAATAGGTCTTCATTTAAAATCTGCTTCCACTTCAAGAAGACAAGGATCTGAGGCAGGGATACTCTGCCTGGTCCATCTTGGAGGCTCAACTAGGACGTGTTGAATGAATGATGGCTCAAGCAATTGAACAAATAAACCATGAATCAAACAACGAGGTGTCTAGAACGCAAGACCAAGGAGCCAAGATGCCCCCTCAGCACAAAAAAAGAAGGCAAGGAAGCCTACGTAGAGCCCAACAGATAACCTAGAATACCATGTGGGCCAATCTGTGCAGCTCTGTTATCATAAGGCCCATGAACCTGAGGATTAGAGTCATTTTTCTTTTGTGTGTGTGTGGTATTGGAGATTGAGCCCCAGGGGTGCTCTACCACTGAGCTATGTCCCCAACCCTTTTTATTTTTTTTTATTTTGAGGCAGGGTCCAAGGCTGGCCAGGAATTTATGATTGTCCTGCGTCAGCCTCCCCAGTAGCTGGGATTACAGGTATGTACCACGGTGGTGCTCAACTCTTTTGCATTTTTAAATGGTTGAAAAAGAATCGAAAGAATGACATTTCCCAGCCCAGAGAAGTCATTTGCAATTCACACATTTCGGTATCCATAAATATAAGTTCTATTGGAAGAGAGCTATACCAGTTCATTTACATATCACCTGTGGAGTTTCACACTGTCATGGTAGATTTGAGCAGCTGTGACAGACACCATAGACCTAAAGTATTTATTACCTGGTCCTTTGGAGAGAAAGTCTGTTGACCCATGAGCTGGAGCATCCCTGGGATCACTATATCCCAAGATCTGCAAGAGGTTCTGCCCCAGTGGCATATGCTAAAGTCCAAATCCTGGAAAAAAAGCTGCCAGACACCAGCTGTTGATGCTGGTGACTGAAATATCCATTGGTAAATTCAGTGCTATCAATGGTAGTACTCTCATGCCATGAACTATTACCTACGATACACCCATTAAGAATGAATCAGGATGAAATGCACAAAGTGTTGAAAAMTGTCCATAATACATTTAAACAATTTTTTCGTAGTTGCATATGGACAGAATGCCTTTATTTTTTATTTGTTTATTTTTATGCAGTGCTAAGGATTGAACCCAGTGCCTCACACATTCTAGGTAAATGCTCTGCCTCTGAGCTACAGCCCCAGCCCCTACAATACATTTTTAAAGTTAATTTAATTCCAGGTGCAATAGCGTGTATCTGTAATCCCAGTGACTTGGGAGGCTGAGGAAGGAGGATCGAGAGTTCAAAGCCAGCCTCAGCAACTTAGCAAGGCCCTAAGCAACTCTGTAAGACCCTGTCTCTAAATAAAATACAAAACAAAACAAAACAAAAAGGTGGGGATTTGGTTCAGTGCCCCTAGGTTCAATTCCCAGTACCCTCCCCCRCCATAAAGAAAGAAAGATATTTAAAGAACAATATGGATAGTACTTTTTAGTTTATTTTAAGAGAGTCAACATGCATATGCTTATGAGAGAATACAAATATCTGAAAGAAGACATGTGATAAAAAGCTCTAGGAAATGGGGCCAGGGATTTTTTTACATTTGATTTGAATTCCATTTGTACTCCTTGAAWTTTTTTTTTTACCCTAAGAATATTAAAAAATATATTAAAAAAGAATATTAAAAAAAAAAGATAAACAAAGATGCTGATTTGAGAAAGCCACTTTCCTCCCCATGCCCTCTGGCAACAGAGTGGCTAATTTGACAACGGATCCAAATTCTTGATGATCCAAATTCTATTCTGCATCTCCCAGAGGGAGAACTGCCTACAAACACCGCCGTCTGAAACCTCAATTCTCAGATGAGTAGGTTGAACTGCTCACTGTGTTTTGAGGAAGCAGGAAACTAAGACGGTTAGAAACAGTCTCACTTCCCTTTTCCTAGAAACTCTGGTTACCTCTTCATTTAGAACACCCCAGCGGAGTTTGCAGAAGGTCAGGTTGCCAGGGGATACCAATAAACCAGCTGCCCAGAGTGGCAGGTGACAGTTTCCTTTGTGTCTCCCTTTGAACAGCAGCTGGCTCTCCTATCACTTCCTCCCGTGAAGGGTCACAATCATAAGCCATATTAACGATCCCCCCTCCCCAGGGGCAAGAGGTGGCTATGAAGTCAGGCACGGATGGAAGAAGTGAGAAACCACGGCTGAGCCAACAGCGGGATTTGGGTAGAATTTCATGACCCACCTTGGCACACGTGTCTATGGGATTCCTTCCAAATTTAACTTTCCCTGGGTTGATTCTCCTGGTTCTGTCTCATGGGAAAGTCCTTGGGGAGTCACGSCGGCCAAGACACTGGGCTCTTAGCTAGTTTGCCCTGCGCTGCCCTCGACCCACAACTTGAACAGTGTCCTGATAGAAGCTGCCACGTAGCACATCCTTTAACAAGTCTCCTCTTCCCTATATCCAAATGGAGTCATTTGGAAAGTCCAGGAAGTCCAAAATACTTAGGGACATGGGGGTGCAGACCTACTCAGCTCAGAAATGCACATGCAACCTGTGCTATCTAATGGGATAAATAATCCACACGTAGCCCCAGCATTTACCAAAGGACATTCTGAGAAATTTCAGGCCAGTGAGAGAGTTCGGTTAAAGAGAAAAAAAGATATTGCAATCAAATTAGAGAAAGTGTACATTTGCAATCCCTGTTTGGGAACAAGAGTATCATGAGAACATTCGACGTTCCAGGAAAATAGGCAGTAGCTTAAACCTGTTCAGCTTAATCTAAACCAGCTTTGAGATCCCTTTGGAAAGCTTTCAAGATGCCATTTGGAAACATGGCCTCAGACCCTGAGGGAGGATTCTACGAAGATGCCCAGCCCAGATGTGAGGTTCCGGGGATGAGCTGAACCTCCCAGGGCAGCCTTCTACCTGAAGATTCTCTAGTAGCTACAGACCCAGGCTTGGATTCCTAACACGAACACTATGGGCAAGCAGGACTCTACGGTAACCCCTGAGCACGGATTTTGAAGGCAAATGTCCGAGAACCGGGGGGCAAGGCTGGGAGGTAACCAAAGGAGAAGAAAGGCACCCTTCCAGAAAGACAGACACCCGCACTGATGCATGTTCCCCCAGCAGGACTCACCATTGGTGGTCGTGTTGACATAGTAACGCCGGCCCTGAGGGGACAAGTAGCTCTGCCAGCCAGGTGGAAGGACAACCGTCTGGCTTTCCTCTCCGGGCGGAGGGGGGACCATTCCAGGCTTCTGTGGAAGAGCAAATAAATGTCAAGATCATTGTAATGTTTTGAGCAACTAATAAAAAAAATTAAAAAAAAAATCACTCACATTTGGCATTTATGCAACTGTTTTTAAACCAGAAAGATAGAGGCCGAAGAAGTTACCCTGGAATTGCTCCATGTTGGGAACAGCAGGAGAAAGGTCAGGTGACACAGGTGCATGACTCAAGGGCTGCTTGAGGAGCACTGGTTCCTGCCAGAGCCCTTTGCTGCAGGGACCGCTCCTCTGGAGCATGGAGGGAAATGCCACTTAGCTAGCAGACCTGGGCTTTCTCCTCCTGGGACTCCWACAAAGTCCCAGGTGGTGGGGGTGCCCTGCTTGTCGAGGGGCCCCCGTCACTCTGTGTGCTCCTGCTGTGAACCTGAAGCCTCCAATYCACAGGACCACTGAGCACAGTAGCACACGAAGCCCCAGGTCCGCTGTGCAAACCTAGCAGAAGTAATGCATGCAAGTCGTGGCAGAGTGGGATGTGAAATATCCCATAATAACACCGAGAATCCATCAAGAGCTGGATCCAGAAAGTCCAGCTCCGGGGGATTTTTCTCACCAACTGTCCAAATCACTCTGGCAAAGAGAATTGAGATTCTAAGACAAAACAGACCCTGTCTCTACTCTGGATGCAATTACAGACATTGGATTCTTTTAACCATGCCTGGTATGACTCGCCTTAAAAATCAATCAGAGAAACACAATGTAAAATAGACACACGCTAAATGGCACCTGTGGTCCCTTGGTGTTGGGACAGGTGTGATTTTTATTCTCTTCTATTTATCTGTTCCATCTCTAAATTTTCTCCAATAAGCACAAAGATTAAAGTTCTTGGATAAAGAATATTTAAAAATCAGGTCTGAGGGTCCAAATGAGCCCACACAATTGCTGTGCTTTTTGAAGAAAAGCAAACTGATAAAAGTCAGAATTCTAACCACAGGAGGGGAATGGAGGTGGGTTTCCCAGCAAGGTCAGAATCTGCTCAGAAACATTAAAGGCCATCAGCTCCCCCAAGTCCTCTGCATCYCTCAGCAGTGCCCACCAGGGTGGTTTCTTTTGGTCACTGATGACCAGTGCTTAGGAAAACAGGATAATAAATTGAAAGGGAGCCGTGGGGAGACACTCTGGCAAGCTGCTCTCCGCTTTGTGCGGCCGTAATGCCGTGTGTCTCTGCCTCCTGTGGTGGCCCGTGTGCCATCAGGGGGGATGAGCAAATCCTAGCTTCTCCTGGGATCGCCAGTAAACACGGCCTGCCTCTGACCCTGGTGCATGTTTCATTCTGAATTCTCATCACTTAATTAAAAGCTGTCCCCTGTGCCCTGGATGCTTCTGCCTTCTCCACCGGCTCCTGCTAACCCACAGGGCCTCTTTGATTCCTCATGGAAGATCGTTTTCTAAGCCAGCAACAGCGAGGTGCACAGCTGCTGGGCCAAAAGCCCCACAGTGTCCCACCAGGCTGTCTGCACACCAATGTGACAGGTCTATTAAGCGTCAGCACACCCCTGACCAGTGCAGGGTTACCTGGGCTTCCGCACGTGGCTCCGGCCTCTCCTGAGTTGGAAGAGGGCTCGAGTACATGCAAGACAAATAGCCTAATGGTAAGTAAAGACAGGGAGTGGGGAGAGAAAGCTATCCTCATATAGTAGCTGCACATTTTGGCTGGGGCAGGTAGGAGTAGCTACAGGAGGGCCAAGGAGCTTAAGAAGGAGGGTTTGAGCAGAGTGCAGTGGCGTATGCCTGTAATCCCAGTGGCTGGGGAGGCTGAGGCAGGAGGATTGCAAGTTCAAAGCCAGCCTCAGCAACTTAGCGAGGCTCTAAGCCATTTAGCAAGACTCTGTCTCAAAATAAAAATAAATAGGATTGAGGATGTGGCTCAGTGGTGAAGCACCCCTGGGTGCAATCCCTGGTACCAAAAAAAAAAGATGGAGGGTTTGCCTAGACAGAGAGCTATTCTAGTACCAAAGGGTTAAGATGCTACATTCTCTTCCTTTGAGTCCATATTCCAGAACACCCAAGAGGTGACGGCCACTTGGTGCTCCTCTGAATAATGTGGGAGGAAATGGGAAGTTGTTCCAGGGTGTTGAGCCAGGTTCCGAAACTGACACTGCCKTTCACAGCGTCTCCGTGCCAGTCCTCTATACCCTAGTCACGGGGCAACCATGTGACCTCAGGCAAATGACAGCCAGGCTGCTGCCACTTGGGTGAAATGAAAGATGCTCACATCAGCCCAGTTGTGGAAGAYGCAAGGGAGATCCACGGTGATGCACCTGGCCACCAGGAGAGGGTCCCTGTCACCAGGAGTGCTYCATCGGTGGGGTTACCCCTTGGAAGGGGGAGGTCTGAGTGGGGCAGGGCTYCCCCCAGACCCTATCTTCTGGGATGTGAAGCTCGGGCGAGTGCACACCCTCCCCTCGGACATCACATCGGATCCCTCCCCTTCCCCTTCACGTCGGAAGTGACACCATCAACAGTTCCTTCTGTGAGGTTTCTGTTTCCAGGATGACCCCAGAAACAGCCACAGGGAAGGTCAACACACGAAGGTGCTGACCATCGTGTGCTGTTGAGAAGGCTGGGCAGCGAGGAGACCTCCCTCCAAGGACCGGAGAGAAGGTGGACTGAACCTTCTGCCCCTGGGGACCCACCTACGGAAGAGCAGAAGGACCCTGTTCCTTCTTCACAGCTGTCTGGACTCCTCTCTAGAATAACTCTGGGTAATTTACCTACATAACCCTATGACGTCAGAAGAAACCCCGGTTGACATGTAAGGACATGGATGACCAAGGAGGTAAAATAACTACCCCAAAGTCTCCCCTACCCAGGAAACACAGGGGCCTCTGGGAAGGTACCCCCCCCCAATACCAAGCCAGAAAACACCAACAGGTGCCAAGAGAGGGCAGGAGAAGGACCACCAGACAGACAGCCYATTTCCTTCAGTCTGGTGAAGGCCACATGGCCATGGGTCCTCTCTCAGCCTGCCACCTGACTGYCCTACCTCCATCTTCTGAGACAGCCTCAGGCCCCTTGCTCCTCCTTTCTTAGAAAGAAGTTCCTCTTATTGACTAACCTCAAACAAATCAGGAGGCAAAAGACGTGGTGACAACGGGGTATACATCCCCCAACCCATGTTGAAAACAAGCGTCCAATAAAAACTCAGGCATCAATATTCAGGGCCTCTTCTTTGTAAGGGCACCCAAGTGCAAGCAGCTCAAATACCCCTCCAATGGGTGGAGGGAGAAGTGAGATTTGCCTCATGCACCCACATGATGGAACAGCACTCAGAAATAAAAATGCACGCTGATACATGCCAGGACACGGAGGAGCCATGGAGGCATCATGCCAATTGCAGGAAGCCAGACAAGAGGGCCACGTGTTATATAAGTCCATCTACATGAAATGTCCACAGCAAGCAAAGCCATAAAGACAGAAGTAGTTTGTGGTTGCCAAGGGCTCAGGGGAGGGAGAATGGGTACCGGGTTTTCCCTTTGGGGTGATGAAAATGTTCTGAAGTAGACAGGGGTCTTGGGTTGCATAGGATCATAAAGGTAGCAGAGTCATGAATGGGCCATTTTAGTTGAGGTATATTTTATCACAATAAAAAAATCATATGGTAGCCGGGTACGGTGGTGCATGCCTATAATTCCAGTGGCTTGGGAGGCTGAGGCAGGAGGATTGCAAGTTCAAAGCCAGCCTCAGCAAAAGTGAGGCACTARGCAACTCAGGGAGACCCTGTCTCTAAATAAAATACAAACTAGATCTGGGTATGTGGCTCAGTGGTCGAGTGCCCCTGAGTTCAGTCCCTGGCACCCCACCCCCAAAATGATATGGTAAAGATAGAAGTTAGATCCACCTATAAGCCTTCACTTAAGAGGCCAAATGCACCGATATTACCTCACTCTTAGTGACCGTGGAGAGGCAGGAGCAGTCGGCCTCCTGGGAGAACTGCCCGTTGTCAGTCATTACAAGTATACAGAGTGATAAACACCTACTAATTAGGATTTCTATTAAACTACTACTTCTAATTAGTTTCCTTCCACATTAAATCCTTCCCTTCCCTTCCTCAGTCTTGTGGCTTCTCTCTTTCAATTCTGTCAGCTCTTTCCCTTGGGAATAGAAACAAGAGACGGAGGGGACACGGTGAGGGGGCAGAGGGCCCTCCCTGGCAGGGAGAAGATCAGAAGTAGCCAGGGTGGGGTGGGAGAAAATAAAAGCAGTGTCCTCCAACTCAGAAATTCTGAATCTAACACAGAGATGTCTTTGTGGGAATTATAAAAGCCTGTCTCTTCCTCTGGCAAGAGCCATCCTGGACCAAAGTGCAAGCTGGATTTTAATCCTTTCCATCCTTATTTGTTCAATCAACAACCTGCTCAATTGCATATGAAACTTAGCGAYCTGCTGTATACCCCCAAATGGGTGCACGGGTCTTTCATCCTGTAGCATGCATCAGCGCATCACTTTAAAAAAATCTGAATGTTATTCCATTGTATGGAAATACATTCCACATTCTGTTTATCCATTCATCCACTGATGGACATTTTGGGTTGTTTCCACTTGGGTGCCATTATGAATRATGTTGCTATGAACATTCTTGTCCATGTTTTTTGGGGTTCACCCTATTTCATACGTACTATGGCAAGGCTCAATTTTACCACCTCAAAACCCTAGTCCGGTAGGTTCTCTACAAAGAACTGAGATGAGATTCCATTTGCACGTATTAGCGATGACTTTCATCAGTCACCAAATGTCTACAGTGTACCAGGGACTGGGTCTGGCCCTTCACACAATCACCTTATCTTCACAACTTGCCTGAGCCATAGATGGCCGTTTATTCCCATTTTAAATCAAGGAATGTTAAGAGTCATTAATAGCTTGCCCTATGCTGCACAGCTAACTGAATGGTTGGTAAAACCAAACTTTCTTTAAAATGTTAGMTTTGGGCTGGGGGTAGAGCCCATGCTTAGCATTCAAGAGGCCCTGAGATC